TTGTATAAATTATCTTAATTATAAATAAAAATTTATTTAAATAAATTATATAAAAATAACTCTCAAAAAATACGTATCTTCCCAAAAGTGTCATTCCCAAACATTACAGATGACAACTGTTTAACTTCACTTATTTTTAACTTTATTAAATTTTAAATTATATTTATTTAAATAATGCATCCAGATATACGTTGCATTTGAATGGGCTATACGCCATGAATTATGGTACCATACTTTAAGTTAGCCAATAAAAAATGTCATATATTTTATGCATACATAAAAATATTGTATATTTTTGTTAATAAAGACAAACAATTATATTTGACGACAAACTTAAGCCAAACGGCTGTCAGTAATAAACAGAAGTCACAAAATCACAGAATGTATGCACAGTATAGCAAGCATTGCATGGATTCTTGTATACAATGTTTACTTAATATTGACTGCAATTCTGTTTTAATCAAATCTCACTTATAAGGCGTTCATATAATGTCAATTAAAAGTTTGTTTACATAAACCATCATATTTTGCATCGATGGCAACACAATTGGTTTCGGTGTTCATATTTTTCAAATGCAATTTAATTGAATATTTCGCATCATTTGAAGACATTCTTCAATTTTATGGTTTTATCAACAAAACAAAAATATTATCTAAGATTAAGACAACTCGTCTGAAAAACTAAAACAAAATCAATTTAAAAAACAAAAACTTTTTAATCGAAACAACCATTTCTTTGTCGACGCCATTCAACCGAAGAATATTATAAGAGTTTGAGACACAAAAAAATAACATAAAAATTTATGAAACTATTCCTTCGATAAACTTTCGGCAAAAATATTAATTATAAAAATCTTTTTTCGGAAACTAATCATTGATTTTTCTCCGGAAAAGAAAAGTTCAATTAAAAATGTTTATGAAAATAATTTTTGCAAAATTAATGAGTCCTTAATTATGAAATGAAAAGTTTGATATTTTTATTCATAATAACTGAAACATTGGATTAAAAACGAGAAAAATATATATTAAATCGCGAGAAAATGATTACATTGAAGACAGGAATTGAGTGCCTAATTGAATGCAAACAAATAATTAAAATTTTACGCTAAAACTCAAATTAATGAGCATTTCATTGGGAAACAAAAGTAATAATAATTGATTGTTAAAACCTAAGTTGAACTCCAAGTTTATAAGAGAAATAAAGTCATGTAAAACAATAGAAAGCAATCGCTTTCCACTCGATCTCTAAGGAAAACACATTTCACTACTGTTTGAGTCTTAACGTACGGTTATAGCCGAAGACATACCGCTATATTATATACGCTCTAAACTGTGAACTCTTTTTATATATAACTGAAATGTAATGTTGAGTGAAATTAAGCCGAAGTCACACAACGAGCTAACGATCGAAATGCCATTCAATACAACCCAATATGATATCATAGTTAGTGTACATTACGGCACACAATGTATAGATTGTACACTTATTTCAGCGACCATTTCGTCGATTAAATTTTATTTCTATACAAATATC